TCTCTCTCTCATTCTCTCTCTCTCTCTCATTCTCTCTCTCTCTCATTCTCTCTCTCTCTCATTCTCTCTCTCTCTCTCTCTCTTTGTGTGTGTGTGTGCCTACTAATTGTCTCCTTGTTGGCAGAGCACCTGTGGAGCTATCTATGTCTAAATAAAATTCACAAAACAAAACTAAAATAAACCGTAAATGTACCCAGTGGTGATGGGCTAAAAGACTGCATATTATAAAGTGCAAGGAATTTGTGAGAAACAACTTCTTTAGGAACCAAAGACAAAATTTATAGATATATTTTTATAACTATGTCTTAAGATTGATTAGTAATGAAAATTTTGATTTATTCTATTCAAATTCTTTACAGTTAATTCATGATACCGTAGTGGATACCAGTGTGGTGTTTCCCCATAAGATGGGTCATCCCTACAAGCGTGCCCTTCGAAATCTAGCCTCAGAAATCCTAAAGAAAATTATCCAAAATGATGGTAAGTGTTCATTAATTCTAGTTGACCTTATGTGTTTTGCTGAATGATGTATGGATTTGAGTGAACAACTTTCCAGGCATTTGCAGCATAGGTTGAAAAGCTATTCAGTGTAAACATGTCTTCAAAGAGCAGTAATAGAATTTGAATTTACTTTTGTATTGTATCTAGACGCAAATGTAAGTTACACTTATACAATACAAAATCAAATTTAGATTTGACATAAACCCTTTCCAACTACTTTATGTTTTATCTTGCCCTATATCACATGTCACTTGACTCATGCTAAATCACTTCAAATAGCCAGCCTTCTAATTTTCGGAAATTATTGGGACTTTCATATTATTTATATGAACTAATTTTAGATTTAGATATTAGCTATTATAATAGATAGATGAGACCAAGAGATATGGAAACCTCTGTGTAACTTGTCTTAGGCTGTTACCTTATTAGGCCATCTTTCATGGCAACCTAATCTATAATGACCATGCCATCATATCTATATTTACTACAAGAGATTCCTTATTTTTAAAAATTTTCTGTCCGGAAAATGCTTTTATGAGATCCAGCAATTCATTAATCCCAACTCTTTCAGTGTCTGGCCATGACAGTGCAGAGGATGCAGTGACCTGTATGCACCTTATGCAGTGGAAGATAAAAGAGGACTTGAAGAGAATTAAAAAATGAATAAAAATGTATCAAGATGTGAATCAATTCATTTTACTACATAGCGGTATTACAGGAGAGTAAAGATGTCAAGTTTGATATACAATTTTTTGTTAAAAGTATTGTTTTTACTCATATATGAAATTAATGTTACATGTTTACACATGGTTGTTTGTAACTATATAATCTAGGAAATTTATTACATGTAAAGTCCAATCTGGGCAAATTTGGTTTTCTTCTTTCTTTTTTAGTCCATGAAAAAATAAAAATTGCTAGTTTTTCTACTTAACAGATATTAGGGTTACAGAATCTTTTGCAATGGTTATTAAGCAATTGCCAAAAGTTCTGGGATTTGAAGCAATAAGGAGTTTCACTTTGTATCAGTCACATTATAAATAATCAAAGATTTTTGTTTTTAAAAGAACAGCAACTTTATTAAGAATTACAGTGTAACAAGTTTATAACTTTTGCAGTCTGTAGAAAGAATGGAAAAAAGTTCCACAAAAAATCATTTTGATGAATGAAACAGATGAAGTACTCACACATTGGAAATTAAAGCATTCCTTTATATGGTATGTAATGTGTATACTGTATAGTTTGTGGCAGCTACATTCATATTTGATATGTTTTTTTTGCAACTTTAGCATCATGTATCTTAAACCAAAGGATGTAATTTTACTCTATTTAATTTTTCTTTAGAATAAGATTCAGTGTTTACTGTTTATGTCTTTGATACTGTAACCAATGTAATCCCGAAAGCCTGACTAATTGTACAGACATACATGTCTGCCTCAAACCCATGCACTGATGAACAGAAGTCCGCATTCAAAATTAGCAACAATTTTTTTTTTTTCTCTCTCTCATGTGTTATATGGTTTTATTTCAAGATATATCAAATTATTTTTACTTTGGTCAAATTCAAAGAAGGATCTGATTTTTATTTCACTTCCAGGTTGAAGATAAATCAATATGGGGTTGGAATTACAATTTGAAAAGAAGTGAGATTTAACTTAATTTAAAGAGAGACTGGAAGAGTGAAATTAGAAAAGGGAGTAGGAAAGAGTGAGGAGAGAAAAGCAGAGAGCAGTAAAAAAAATTATAATAAAAGAGCCTAGATAAAGTCAATGAGAGGCATTTACATAAAATAAAGCAAACACCAAGGGTATTTTACAGAAATCAAGTGGAAGAGGAAGAAGGAAAGATCCGGATTATTAATGAATAAGTGATTGTATGAAAGCAGGTGATATTGCAATCTTGTATGGTTTCTGATCTTGCATGGAAGCAACATTACTTGGCAATGAAGCACCAGATATGGGTGATTTCTCTCTTGAAAATGTAAAATATCTTTGGCTCTAGAAGCATGTGCCTGATATAACTAAGGTTATTTTTTGGTTGAATTAAAGCAGGGTAAGTCTTTTTGTTCTTGTTAGAATGGTCATGTTAGTGTCCATATATGTAGAAATAGTTCACTGGGAAAATTGATTGTTAACAGAGCATTCAAGCTTATTTTATTTATGTTATTAAATTTTCAGCTTGAATACATTTTCTTTTATCATATTTCTCTAATAGCATTTATTAAGATGATGAGTCACCATGACTGGAAGAGAGAATGGCAGAAATGAGGATTAGTAGCAACTTGAGTTATCACACTGTCATGTTATCAAGTAAATGCAGTAGAAATTTGTTCTTCTAATTTTACAAAACAAAATTTGGTTTTTGATTGCTTTACCACAGCTATGTAAAGACATGGGTGATATTTTTTTAAAAGCAAGAATTATCTGAGAAATTCAGTTGAAACAAACAAAATCACAGTATATATAGGTAATAAACATAACTTAAGCAAGATGAGATATTAAAGAAGGTAACCAATTTGGAAACATCAGATTTTTTTCTGTATACTGATCTACTTTCCATTTCTGTTTGTTTAATATAACATTATTTTGCTGTTGATCAGGAAATATGAATATCATTGAATCCTAAAAACAGTTAGCGTAATTATATCAAATAGTTTAGAAGGCACCTTAATTATGCTATTTTACAGTGCATTATGTTTAGGTAATTATGAATGTTTTAGAAAGTTCAACAAAGGGCATTGAGTAAAGAGTTGTAATTGATTTTTTTTGTGTTAGGGGGGAAAATTTCCCTTTCTTTAATCTTATCTACATGGTTGATATGGTGCTGACTCGTAGTTTCCCTTAATCAGGTATCTCCCCCCCCCCCATCAAGTATTTCAGGTTTTGGAAGTATGAAACATGCTGTAATAAGGTTCTACTGCAGATTTAATGAAAGATAAAACATCACAAGTGTTGGAAGATACAAGTATTAATTTGTAATGATGAATGTAAGGAGTGGTTTGAGCACTTAATGTAAGGTGTCAGTTGAATGCTACATATACGGGATACCAAATCATAGCTTTTACTACATGATACATTAACAATGGTACAAACAGGATGTACATTCTTTCATTCTTATTATTTTTCTATTTGAATAGTACACATTTAGCTATATTGGTTCCCTAGCTCTAGTCAAACTACTGTGCTTCTTTGTGAATTATTTCAACAGCAATAAAATGTAAAAGCTCCATTCTATGGGGAAAAAATCTTATTTGATACCCTTCAGTTTCCTTCATGATAAGACTGATTTTAGGATATTCTCTTTATCTACAGTCCCTTGAAAACATTACTTTAATTCATAGGAATTAAGACCAAAAAAAAATAAACACTGCAGCCAATAAGGAGGATATTTTAAATCTTATATTAACCATTATACTTCCAAATAGTTCAGAATGAATGTAAAGTTGGGATTTGGCATATTATATTACATTAAATTGGAAGAAAACAGTATTTATATACATATTACAACTGCTTTTGAAGGAATTAAATGAGGATGGAATGACTACCATCTCATTTCATATTTCCCTGTTTAGCAGTAAGCCATATATGTGAGGCCCCATACCCCAGCTCCTAATAAGGAGCTCAGCTCAATGATTTCAGACCTTTAAGGCCATAATAGATCATCTCTTGTATATGCAACATTAAGCCCTTATTTGGTTATTGGAAATTCATTAGCTTACCCTGATTTTCATCATAAATATGACAGGCCCTTCAACAACCTCAATGGAAGGTGGTATTTTAATGTGTGTCAGTCATACCAGTTCCATTGAAAATGAATATTAAATTTGTTGTATGTGTAGTATAAGCAATTAATTCCAAGGAAAATGATATCATTTTATCATCTAAGTAAATAACACAACCAATTTTTGGATGTCTCATGTGAGATGTTTTTAACTGCTTTTTTTAACGTGTAAATTAACCCAATGTCGATGGGAAAATGGTGCATTCCCTTTGGCAATGCTTGGCTAGATGTTTTTGCACTTGGATGGTTCTGCCAATGCTTAGCCACAAAGGAGTCGATTAGTAGATCACTTTTCCTTGAAAAAGTGGGAAAACGCTTTTTTTTACTAATGCTATCAATATTGCCACTGTTATTTTTTTTATAAACTTCAGAATTACTATATTGTTACTAACATTACTAACAGCAGTATTAAATATTAGAAAATATTATCGAAAATCAAGGAAAAGGGTAAACAGGTCAGACATAGTTCACATGATTGTCTCATTGGTGACAGTACTTGTGGAGCCATCTGTTTGTAAAAACAATTACTAATTTCAACACACACAAAGGACAATGGCATGTACGTACATGCCATACCTGGTGGCTTTGGGTTAATTTCACTGACAGCATAACATACTCAAAAGAGATATAAACAAAGTTGTAGGTGTGATAAACATAATATAAAATCAAACTGAAATGTTTGCATAAAGTGTTAACCCCCTTGGAAAACTTGGATGCTGTGAACCTACCCCTTTTCCATCCACAAATGGCACCCCTGCTATAGATAAGAAGACCTTGCAATGATTACACTTTTCACTAATTGTGCTACATTAATGAACACCTTTTCCAGTGGCTCTGCCTTTGGTAATTGAAGTATGATGGTATTGAGACGGATTCATTCGGCTTCATGTCCTGTGTACACTCCTATCACCATGAGCACCATGTCCTATGTCAAACTCATTTCCACAGCAGAAAACTGTTCCCAGTTAGGTTTACATTATGTGTTGTACTGGTTGGCTTCTATATAAGCAAGCTAGCTACAAGATTTACGTTGACCCTCTTGCTCATGAGTATTTACCAATAATGAGAACAACTTCCTTTGGGGCTTTGCTAGGTCCCAAAGGTTGAGGATCATTAGCAGCCACTTATCCTCTCAACATGGCTCTCACTTCCTAGAAAGTGGAGAGAAGACAAGGTTAGAGAAGAGAAGGAAAAGGAAGGGGAGAAAAGAAAAGACTGCAAAGTTTGTTGAGCTAAGGGGTGAGGCCTCCATTTGTCACTTTTTTTTTTTTTTTTTTTTTTTTTTTTTTTTTTTTTTTTTACTTAAGAATACCTTATTTTGATGTACTAAAATATACTGAAGATGCAGATTGTTTACTTACTGCCAATTCATTATTATAAATTAGTTCATAGCTTCTTATTGTGAATAAATGATTGAAAAAGTAAAGTTCTAGACTTCAAAGGTCAAATAGCACTATGGTAAAGTATTGTGTTGAAAACGGAAAAAATTAGTTAACAATTAAGATAAAATTTATTAGATGTCAAAGGTTGTAGAGTGCTATAGATAGTATGGCAATGAAAATGGGTACAGAGGGGATAGCATATGCATATGGAGAAGGGGAGGATGGTGTGTGTTGGGAGAGAATAGGAGGAAGTGGGGAACTTGAGGATGATGATGGATACCACCAATTACTTTAAATATAGGGGGAATAGTGGGAATAGAGAGATTGGTGGGTGGATGAGGGAGTGGAGTGTTTTCTTGGGTCATGTTTAGGAAGCTGTGGATATCTTCAAGAGTTTCTGGAAGGGAATCACAAAGTATTGATTCAACGTGGCTGAGCCAAAGAGAGTACTCAAAAGGTTTGCAAAGGTGGAAGCAGTAGAATGACGAGGGCAGGAGGAAGATAGGGTGGTGTGGAGTAAGGTAATACTGTGGGGAGGAGGACAATAAGGATAAAGAATAGTGCAATGAAAAACACAATACTGTGTTGATAATATGGAAGAAAAACCCACAATGCACAAACTAGATTTATTGAGGAAAGTGAGACAACAGTTTTGGAATCATCCTCGATTCCATCTTCGTGTCTGAAGAGGCAAGGGAGAGTAAGCGGTAAAAGCCCCAGGGGACATAGCAACAACGACCTCTTCTGCCATCAGTGGGACACTGGCCATCAGATGGACTGGAAAGCACCACGCATTCTCTTCCCCTCC